CTAGGCCAGCCACGGAAATGACGTTATGTGCCGGTTACGTAGTATTGGGGCATTGCGATAAAGGTGGAATATATATTGACTTTCTTTATTATTATTTAACTAAAATTATTAAAGTTAATTTTTATGAAAAAATACAGAATCCACTAATATTTTTAAATTTATTTGTCATTTTCAATGAAAATAAAATAAAACTGTAAATACTATTAAACTCAACATCACTTGATTTAATAGTCTCCTAGAACATACCAATAAACCTAGATACCAAAATTAAAAGATTCTTCATTATACCTTTCTTTAACTTAGAATCAATTTATAAAACCGTTATATTTTAAATAATAGCCGCTAAACCGAGTTAGAGACGAAACTCATAGGCCATTAGTAGGCCCATTGTGATATAAAATGCCAACAACACGCGGTGTTTCCAAGCGTTGCCTCATCTAAGTACTAACGGGTTCGGTGAGCGAACAAGTAGCGATTTAACGTGGAAGATCATACCACGGCTACTGAGTTTAAAACAAATCAAAAATGTTTCCGCCCGATGCGGAGAGCAATGCCACGTATGGATGTATATCACACACAATGCGTATACGGTTGACTAAGGATTGAAAGGATCGTACTAATTCCAGTAATAATTAATTTATCATTATTTTTGTTTTAAATTATTATAAATCGATAATAGTGTATTTTAAAAGTTATTTATTGAAGTATTTACATATATTTTTATTTATGTAGAAAATTTTATAAATATATATAATTTAACCTTTATTGCATAAAAATTCATACGCATTTCTGCAAAGTAGATGGTTCTAAGTTGGCAAACTATGTATGTTTATTATTGTTTATGATGGGATGGACTGGGTAAGACAGCACACACAAGGACACACACATATAGGCTTACAAAATCAAATAAACACAACAACAAAAAACTATAATAAAAAAAGCGTAAAAATTGTAAAAATGTCTAAAACAAAATAAGAAGTAATCGAGAAAATCTTGCCGTCAAGTGTTCGCTTTTCAAAACTGTTTTACATTTTTTTCACGTCTCAACATTTTTCCAGCTTTGCAATGCAAAAGAAAAAATCGAAAAAATAATCTAAAAAAATATTAATTGTACATCATTATGCATGTATATGCAACTTACTATCTTTTTTTTTGGTTACAATTTTATTGTTTAACGGTTTAATTGGCATTATTTTGGTTTTATTGGTTATATCTAGTATCGGCAACAAGGATAAAATGAATGAATACTGCTCAGGGACATTATTAGGACACACTATTTTTTTTTTTTTTTTTGGGTAGCGGGTAAGTAACGAAAAATATCAAATATTTATTATTGTATGACTGGTAGCATGATAATGAAAATGAAAATGAATTATTTACAAAATGAATGTGCTTCGTCATAAATGCTTACGGTCCGGAATTGTGAAAAGCATAATAGAAAAATGTTTTATTATTTACACTCGTATATATGTATGACGAAAATTGTGAGCGAGAAAATATTTTGTTTGAAACCTAAGTAACGAGAAGCAAATATTTTTTTTTTTTTTTTTTGATTGCAGTCAGTATTTGGGAGTTGATTTGATATCTTTTTTCTGAGTAAACACATATTTGCCAAGCTTGTGTTGCCTCTCTCATGTGTTTAAATATATTTAATTATTATTTCAGTCTCTAATTTTCTTTTAAAAATATATCATAGTGTTGCAGTCGACGCTCGGCAGAGAATAAAAGTCCTTCGAAGGTGGCTTAGTATGAACTGTAGGTCCCTCCATTTTTTAGAGAACATCAAATGGAACGAGGAGCTCGGACGGAAATCGCTTTAGCCGAAAAATATATAAATATATACTATTTTGAAGATGAAATTAAACCAGTTTATTACTTGTTGGCATATCAAAAGTAAAGAGAGTAGAAGTAAGCCACAAGTGGTAATGCAGTTATCTGTTTCTACTTATTTCCCACAAAGCTTAAACTTAAATTTACTAGTATTTCGGGGCATGGTAGACCAAAAGTCGCAGTGCATTTACGCTCCTCTAACCAGTATTTAAGTGGTATGAAGCTGATAGTTGGACCATTGGCATATAGTAAGACAACGGAGTACTAAATATACCAATCAATGGCAGTGGGGAAAAGATGGAAGGCATTTGACTGTATTTTGGCCTAGGCTTTGCTTTAGTTGAAAGTCTGTCATTTATGAAAACAACCGCACAATGCGTTAAATTTGTTAAAACCTACTGCTGTTTTAAGAGAAGATTACGGTGCACATAATCGAGGCATATTTTTCACTCAAAAATCCTGCTATATATGAAGGGAGGCCATTAAATATAAACAAACGTTTTGAGCTCTTTGATCCGGAGGTGTGATCAGACCTTTGAAAACCACAGCTGCGAGACTATCATTATCAATTCGGAGCGTTTGGCAGTATGATAACAATTTGTGTCTGACTTGAACAATATGTGGTTTCTCAAAAATTCTAGAGATTTGAATTATGTAATGTTTCACTTGTAATGCTAAGGTGCAAACTTTATAAAAGAAAGGAATTTCACGAAAATAATTATTTTAAAATTATTTTATTAGCGCTTATTTTCGAAACCACAAAATAGATAACCCTGTATAATTTTCATGTTGTCTTTAATATAATTCTTCTTCTCAGTCTTTGCAGATATCTAAAAAATAAGAAGAATGAAATTCCCAAAATGATATCAATAACATTCTCACGCCTGTTCGCCAACTATGGAAAGATATAGAAAAATAGTTTAGTAAATATCCGCCGGTTTGTTAGAATTTCTTCAGTTAAATTTTTGACAACTGCATTCTTCTCATGGGTCAAACATAACTATTAAGCATATTTCCTTTTTATAACCATTTAAGCATTGTTCGGCCGAGCTTCTCTCTTCTCCAATTCAAAATTTACACCTTAATCTTTTTCCCCTCTATGAAGCTATGATTGAATAAATAAATATTATAACATCCTTCTTTCGTTTATATGTATGCATGTATGAAATGTATATGCCCGATTGTATTCATTATACCTATAGCACGTAAAGGTATTTCTTTGGTTCGTTAGCAGTTTCTTAACAATACACATTTAAAAAAAAATATAGTTCTCGGTTTCATTTTTGTTTTCTTCTTCTCTCAACTTGTCAAAGAGTCAAATAAACGTTAACAATTATAAAGAGAAGGTAAAACGAAATACAGAATTAGTCATGTTTTGTTTAACTTTGCAAATAAGTAGATATATATAAAAAGTATATAATTCGTTTATATATACATATATATGTTTGTAAATATATTTATACAATATTTATATATAAAAATATTAACAAAAAAGTTTTTTATTTACAAAAGTCAATTATTTACAGTTATGTGTCAAGAACGCAAAGTGTCAAAACGAACCCATATAGAGTGTAAATAAAAAAAATAAAAAAAAAAATAAAAATATATATATATTTTCAAATGTAAGCATGATTTTTTATTGCATACACTTTTTATAGAAATTTATGCAATCACTTAAATTGCCTCATATATATATATATGTACATTCATAATGTGTATGTATGTACATATGTGTGTATTTACGAAGATAGCGTATTGACCTACGCATTGAGACGTTAATTTATTTAACCGTCACTTCCAATATTGTTTTGTATTTACTTTTTTTTTACCTGCTCGTGTATATATGTATATTTTGTTTGAATCGCGTTGTTGATTTTCAGTACTTTGCTAACTTTTCGCTTCATTTACTTTATTGTTTTCAAAAATTTGTTAAAGAAACAATTTTGTATCTTACAAAAGTTGGGACGGGTTAAACTGCTATTCCGCTAATATGTACGCACGCTTAAAATTAAAATTGAAATTGCCTTTTTTATTTCGTTAAAAATATGTTAACTTTAAGAATATTTAGTAAAAGTATTGCCACTAATGTGTTTTTTTTTAATTATTTATTTATTTCTTTTATTATTGTAACTTTGATTATTTGCGAGAAAGAGAGAGGACCCTTGCTATGTACTAAACGAGAGAAAATATCAACAACAAAAAATGGGGGAAAATGTTAAAAAAAAAATCAAAACGGTCGGTATATTCGAATATTGAGTGGACTAAAATATTGATTTATTAATTTATATATATATATATATATTTATAAATATATATGCATTTCTCAAATGTATGTGTGGTGGATTTTGTAGTAACTATTTACAAGTATACAATTTGGTGTTGTTGTGTCTGGCTTTTCCTGCATATTATAAGTGATTTATAAAATAAAAACAAACATTAAAAAAACTAAATAAAATAAACAAATAAGACAAATAAAAAAATCAAAACTAAATAATTTTAAAATTTATAAATATTTATATTTAAAAAAAATATATATATGTACTAGCTTGCGAATAAAATTTAATAAACCGAAAATAAAAAAATATTCTTTTCAAAACGTTTAACGTTATGCCCATAAATATGTATGTATGCAATTAATAATTGCTTGAATGAAATGAGCTTAATAGTAAACTGAAACTATTTGCATTAAACCTAAGAATGAAACGTCGCCAAAACGGGTGCAATAAATCAGAAGATTTTTATATAATTATCACAAAAAAAGGTAAAACAAACAAAATCGGGTGAGACAACACAGAAATGTACAGAAAATTAATAACATAAATATTATCATAGAAAAATATCCAAATATATAATAAAAATTAAACATAAATACATAACCGAACAAACATAATTCACAAATTATATGTAGTAACACAAATACGAACAGAAAATATACTCGTATATGTATATACAAAAAAAAACCGTTTGCAAAAATGTTATGTTTTTTTTTGATGGTGAAAAAAAACAATATTAAAATGTGGCAGACAGATAGATAGTTAGTTGAGTAGTAGTTAGCTAGAGAGTGACTTTAAATATTTAAAATAAATGGGAAATAGAAAATAAAACCAAAAACATAACGATAACTAGAAAACTAGGAACAAAACAAAAAACGCAAATTAATTAATGCTTACAATCATTCATATCATCATAGGATCTCATTATATACTGATCCGATGAGGATAGTCTTGAATGCCCGTTGTTGTTGTTGTTCAAATTGGGATGAGCTCCCCCCCTATGTTCGCTTTGTTTTAAAACGCTACGCATCGCCATGGCAGATGGATTCGTTTGATGCATATACATACTATCACCTTCGCACTCACTTTCTTTATATTGAAGAACATTTTTATGTTTTTCATAGATAACCAGGCACCGATGACATCCTTTCCTACAAATAGTATTTATGCATTTTATGTAATATATGTAGTATGTAGTTTGCAATGTTAGCAATTTAGCACACGTTCAGAGAAAAAATATAACAAATACAAATACAAATTTTTAATTTTTATTCTTATTCATGATTGCTTTAATTGATGGTATTTAATATAAAACCCAATAAAATAAGAAACAGACTAAAATAAATGTTTTATTAATATTAATACGTATACTATGTTGCTCGTAAGTATGTTGAAAAAAATATATAGGGTAAGTTAAGATTTTGGTATGTCATTTTTAGAACATTTTTATTTTGTGTTTTTTTTATAATTTTTTTTTTTTTTTTTTTTTT